CAGCTTCACAAAGAGATGTTACCTGTAATAACAACAACAACAATACTAAAAATAAAACCTTTGTCTCAGGGTTGTTTGGATGACGATGACAATGTATGTCAAGTGCTTGGCCCAGTGCTTGGCACACAACTGCTCATTATGTGAGCTATTGTTGTTTATCAGTAGTTTTATTTTAGGATGACTTCAAAAATGTATTTATCTCAGCTAGTCAAACTTGACCTTGCTTGACCTTGACCCCTTCCCCAAGGGTATCTATGACCAGATATGAGCAAGAGGAGAAAGAAAGACATAGGTAAGGAATTTTCCTCATCAATGTAGGATGTTAATGAGGGGAAAGTGGATCATTTATAGCTCTTTTCAGTGTAAGTTCTCAGCTCCAGGAAAGGGAAAAGGTACAATTGTTGCAGATGCAGAGAGCACATGAGCCTCCTCTCTGCCTCCTTCCCTCTCCCGACACTGCTGTCTTGATCTTTCTCCTTCCCTCCCGCCCTTCATGTCTCCCTTGCTCCATTCCTCCATCTTTCCTTGTTTCCTTTTCTTCCTTCTTACCTTTCTCTCTCCCCCTTTCCATTTTTTTTTCCACCTTTCCATCTCCTATCCACGCTCTCTAGATTGACGATAGGCCAGTAAGGTCGTTTTTGTCAGTAATTTAGAGGAATTTAAATAGTGTCTGAGTTGTCAATTAGAAATGGTCTAAAATTTTAGAGTTCAGAACAGCAAAAGGAGGTAGAAATGGGTTCTGTACAGAAAACAGAAACAAGCACATTATCGCAATAGAACAATCTCTTTATCTCTTTTAGTCTCTTCAGGAAAATGATGAAGACACTGATCACCACCCATGCGCTGCCTCTGCTGCTCCTGCTGCTGCAGCTGCTGCAGCCACTGCAGTGTCTGCGGATAGATGACATGTCGGGTGTACTAGAGGATATAAGAGAAGAATATGCAGAATATTTAGAGATACTTTATGGTACGAGACCTACCAGATCACCTAGCATAGAAAAATTCAAAAGGCTTAACATCGTTGATCCTTTAGGAAGACCATTCTATGATGACCACTACTGCACTGACGAAATGAGGGCAAATATTATTCACAGCAAGTTCCGTTGTCTGCAGGAACATTACTTTCTCACTATGCAGTATGAAGAGTTGAAAAATATCTGTCTCAACGAATTTGTGCCATGTAAGAATGGAATTAAGAAATGTAAAATGAGCACGACTCTAGAAGGAGGACTGTACTGCAAGTTAATAGAAGGGACCCAAATGCCAGAGTGTACATACGAGTCATGTTATAAGAGGGGATATGTCCTTATCACTTGTCGGTGGCATAATGAAACCCAAGAATTTATTCCTGAGAGTGTAAATGATATCGTGACACCACCAGAATAGCCTCCTCAGCAAGGAAGGTGCTGTCCTCCCACCACAGTAACAGAATATTCTATAAGAGGTTAGGGTGGGAGGATATCACCCTCTCCACACTGAATCTTACAGGTCAAAATTGAGCTGATAATTTTTGATTCCATTTATTTTAATCATCGTTCTCCTTCCCTTCCTGCCCCAACACCACTCAAGCAACATGAGCTAGGTTCGTAGATAGTGAGTGCTCTGTGTTCTGCTGTCACACAGGTCACATGTTTCAGCATGTGTTGAATGTGTTCTGAGTATGAATTCCTGTGATGGAAAGATGACCAGAACCAAGAGAAACAGGAAATGGTTGCCCGAAGTGTGCTCCAAAGGTGTATTTATGTGATTTTCTAGTTCAGGAGAAAGAATAAAGTGCCTCAGTCTAGTACAGTGGCTCTGGTATGGTTATGTGGGGTTTCTAGGCCTGGAATGTTCTTCCTTGTGACACAGTTTGAAACAAAGAGAACTCAAATCCCTTGGAGACCAGTGCTATGTTTGTTGATATTTTGCTTGTCCTATTCTTTCCATAAAAAACAATACAGGGGACCATGAAGAAGTAGATTCAAACAGGGGACATCTCAGGATAAAAGCCTTTAAATATGCAGGAAAGGAGACTTACCAAAGTTCTTTTCAATTGTCCAAATGCTGTCTGTGTGAACTCCTACGTGTTTGCTTTAGCGTAGACGTCAGTGTTCACAAAACCACAAACAATTCCTTACTTTTTGGCACAGTCACAAGTATCCAGAATTCTTTTTCTCACTTTCCAGTAGGTATGACTATATCTAAGAATCCACCACCTCAGAAAGAGGCTGGAGAATCTGTATGATAAAGGAAATGTATCTGTCCAGTTTAAGTAACAATTTCTCTCCTTTTATCTCAAACTTATTAATACCTTTTTATTATTATTCCCTAAAACTTCCTGAAAATGGGTAAGAAGTAGTGATGAGGGATGGTAGAGAGAGTATCCATTTTTTATTTACACTCAGAGCTAAGCTCCTAATTTATCAATTTGTTGATACAAATAAGGGTCTAGGGCCAAGGACTGCTAAACCCCCTTTCAGTGACTACGGGAGGGGCACCAGAAAATCAAACTTCTAGACTCCTGTGATGGTTAATTTTGTGTCAATTTAACTGGGCTAAGAACTGTCCAGATAGTTGGTAAAACATTACTTCTGGGTGTGTATGTGAGAGTGTTTCTGGAAGAGATTAGCTTTGAACCCATAGACTGAATAAAGTAGGTAACATTTGCCCATGTAGGTGGATATAAGCAGTCCGATAACACTTGCCCATGTAGGTGGACATCAGCAGTCCCTTCAGGGCCTGAATAGAACAGAAAGGCAGAGAAAGGGTGATTTCACTCTCTCTGCTTGGGTTTTGGAACATCCATCTTCTCCTGCTCTTGGATATCGGTGCTTCTGGTTCTTAGGACTTTGAGTTCGGACTGGGACTTACACCATTGGCTCCCTTGAGTCTCAGGCCTTCGGGTTTGGACTGGAAACTCCATCAGCAGCTTTCCTAGGGCCCCAGCTTGCAGTCTACAGATTGTGGGACTTCTCAGCCTCAGTAATTGCATGGGACAATCCCTCATGATTTGACGTGTCTAAGATGTTCTACTGGTTCTGTTCCTCTGAAGAAGCCTAACTAATACACTAATCTCCATTTGTTTGTTTGTTTGTTTGTTTGTTTTGCTTTATTTTGTTTTGGTGGCTGGCCATTCCAGGGATCCAAACACTTGACCTTCGTATTAAAACACTGCACTCTAACCAACTGGCTAGCCCACCAATCTCCAACTGGAGGCATGTGGATTTCAATCACAATGTTTGAGCACATAAGGTACTGTGCAACTCTTGAGAATCTTCATGACACCCTCTAAAACCCAACCTCACTACATTAGCTGAAGAAATTCTGCACATGGGCTGGCCTGGTCATGTACACCTCATCCATCTTGGGAGCTATACAGCATAGAATAAATGTAAAGTGTATGGTATAGTAGAATAGCTAAGGCATGAAAGCAATCATAATGGATTTCCCTTTCTTCAGGATAGCCAATCTAATCCAAACTGACCAACGACGATTATTTGCACAGACTACTCCTGTCTCCTAATATTGCTCAAGAAATTTAGATCCTGGTCTCTATCCACTGGACTCCTCAAGACAAGTTCAAACTATAATTTTCAGCTTTGCCCCCTGTGAGATTTCAAGTGGTTATTGTCCAAACTACATTAGCATTCCCTCCTCAATAATACCTAACTTCATTATTAAAATGAACATTGTACATACATTGACTCATATCACAATTTACTCTTTATGCTAGAGTCCCTTGAAATGATGCACCATTCATTACTTTAATTGTGGTAAAATATACATGACAGAAATTGACCATTTTAATCATTTTAAATGTAAAGATCAATGGCTTCAAGAACATTCACATGGTTGTGCTTTTTTTTTTCCTTTTTGTCTTTTTTATTGACCAGTAACGGGATCGCAACCCTCGGTGTTGCGCCCGCACCGCGCTCAGCCAGTGAGCAGGAACCGGTCTCCACATGGGATCCGAACCCTCGGTGGGAGCACTGTCACACTCCCAAGTGGTGCACTCTCCAGTGCGCCACCAGGCCGGCCCTAATCATTTTAAATGTAAAGATCAATGGCTTTAAGAACATTCACATGGTTGTGCAACCACCTCCACCACCCATCTGTACAGCTTTTTTCATTTTGCAAAACTGAAACTCTCTACTCATTAAGCAATAACTCCCCATTCATCCTTTGGCAACTTCCATTCTACATTCTGTCCCTATGAATTTGACTATTCTAGATACATCGTAAAAGTGGAACCATACAATATTTGTTCTTTTGTGACTGGCTTATTTCACTTAGTGCAGTCTTCCAGTTTTACCCATGTCGTACCATGTGTCATAAGTTCCTTTATTTTTAAGGCTTAATAATATTCCATTGTATGTACATAATGCATTTTGTTTATCCATTCACCCATCAAAAGACACTTGGTCTGCTTCCACCACTTGGATATTGTGAATAATGCTGCTCTGAACATTGGTATATAAATATCTGTTTGAGTCCTTGCTTCCAATTATTTTGTGTATATACCGAGAAGTGAAGTTGCTTGATAATATGGTAATTACATTTTTATGGTTTTTTTTTTTTTTTTGAGAAACCACTATACTGTTTTCCACTATACTGCTATACCATTTACCAGCAATACACTAGGGTTCCAATTTCTCAAAATCCTCATCAACATCTGTTATTTTCTTTCTTTTTATAATAGCCATTCTAAGGGATCTGAAGTAGCCATGCAACATTAATTTTAAATTGCATTTATTCAGTGAAAGAATGTAGACAACAACATTCCCAAGAGTAAAAAAACAACAGACACTGCATTTTGTTTTCTGACCAAAATAAACCTAATCAGTCTTCTCTTTAAAATTATTTTCTAATGAATATGACATTATGGAATAAGTAAGGAAAAGAGTCTAGTTTAATCAGCAGAGAGCGTGGTTGCTCCTATGCTCTCTATTCCAGTATAATATTCTCAAATGATGTTGGGGAGAGAATGAAACCAAAGCTAGTAACTATTATTGTGCTGCTCCTTGTTGAAGAAAATTGATGATACCAAATTAAACCCTGTTCAATTTGCCCCAGCATAGTTTTGGTGCAAGTTTAAATAATATTTCTGATGGACTCGGACAATAAGAACTCTTATTCTAAAATTATATATAGCAGTCACAATACGTCACACTGTATTTTCTTTAGTATAAATTTTTCAAAGTGTTTTTATATACACTTTTACTGTTAATCACCACAACCCTTGTGTCACAAGCAAAGAGGTCAATTCTCTGTCCACTGTTTGCTCTGAGAAAGGCTTAATCACTTGTCCTGGTCACATAACAAATAAAGAACAACAATATATCCAAATCTTTCCTTTCTTTCTCTCTCTAAAACGGATCTTTCTCATATGGCTCTGACATAAGTGGTTGACATCTATAAGCTATCATATTTTTAGAAATACAAAAATGAGATGGCCCATCCTTTACTCATCACACTTGGTGCAGTAATTTTATAATTTTCATGTAGTATGAGAGTACATATTCCACATCAATTTTCATGGCTGGAAGATGACAGAAACTGGTTAACAGTGTCAAGTTCTTCTTGAGAGATCAAGGGAGATAACTGCAGCAACTTGGGGCCACTGGAGAGTGCCTTTAGTCCTGCCAAAATGAAAGGTAAGCTGGGCTTTAACCAAATGAGATTTCGAATTCAGGGATATCTTTTCCATAAAATTGAATTCTGAGACTGGATATGTTTTCCAACCACTACATTATAAACTTCAAGTGAACAAGGACAGTCACAATGATATATGTATAACAGTATAAAAATAGTGCTGCCTTTCTTAGCTTTTATTTCCAAATATCAAATATTTGACATTATTCAATTGTCAAAGGTTGCCCTTCTTCTCTTATTAAATGTATTTATTATAATAAGCAGGTGCAAGCAACTTACCACTTCAATACATGCTCTCTTATAGCAGTGCCTGAGCTTTTACATATTTAATACATGTTCTTTTAGGCTTCATCTCATTCCTTGTTCTATCCTCAGTTCCTAGAACAGTGCCTGCCACTTAGATATACACAATGAGTATTTCTGAGTGAGTAAGTAAATAGAAACATAAATAAGGAAACTTCAAGGATATAAATATTTTATTATTTTTTTTATTTTATTATTTTTATTTTGTCAATATACAATGAAGTTGATTATTATGTCCCATCACCGAAACCTCCCTCCCTCCTCCCTCTCCCCCCTCCCACCCAAGTGTGTCCCCTCCATTTGCTTGTTGTAAGAACTTCAAAAAAAAAAAATAATTGTGGTTGTTATATCTTCCTCTCCCGCCACCCGGTTTTTTTGGGGTTTTTTGC